ACCTGTCAATCTCGTCCAAAAATGCACAGTAGATGTTAGACACGATGCAGCATTTTGTAACCTAGAACCAGCAAATTCTGCAACTGATGCTCAGACAACAAAAGGAGCACAGTCTAGACCTCAAGTTATTGGAGCTTCATGGCCTGGTTATCAAGGAACTCCCCACCTAGATGTTCCCCATCTAGGCGCCCCCTTGGGCACCCCACATTTGGGAATTCCCATGGGCGCCCCACACAGGAGGGGTCACCATGAGCGACCTCCACCTCCTCTCTTCTTCTTATAGTAGAGACCCTCATTTTCAAGAAGATGAGGGTGAAAACCAAAACATGAGAGCCATTTTTATGATAATTCTAGAGGACCTCCCAATTACTGGGACAAAAAATTTAAGGAGGTACAAAATTAACTAGGTGACATCATCAACGCCATGAAGGCATAGGAACCCGAGATAGTGGACTACCTCGTAAGCCGAACCGATACGCCTTTCAAATCTGATGTGGTAAACCACCCTCTTCCTCAAAAGTTCAAAAAGCCATCTATAGAAATTTTCGACGGTACAAAGGACCCACTTGATCACCTCGAAACCTACATGACCTTAATGCAGTTGCACAATGTGCTCGACGAAAATTATGTGTAGGGCATTCCCAACTACTTTGAAGGGATTAGCGCGACAATGGTTTGCCAAACTCACCCCGACCTCCACAGGCTCATTCGTCGAACTGAGTAGATCCTTTATGACACAATTCATTGGTGGACGCTGCCAGCAGAAGCCTGTCACCCATCTGCTCAGCATAAAACAGGATTGAGATGAGAGTCTAATGAGTTATCTCACTCGTTTTAACGAGGAAGTCCTCCAAATCGAGGAGCCCAATGACAAAGTCACCATGATCGTCTTCTTGGGAAGCCTCCGCTCATCGAGTGTTCTCTTTTCAGTGATGACGCGATCACCAAAGAGTATGTCAGAACTATTGGCAAAAGTTCAAAAATATATGAATGTTGAGGAAATCAACAAGTCGAAAGCGAGGTGAATCATCTCGTGAATCGCCAAAATCTTGATTTATCTCTACTTTGCTCTCAAGTAGACAGTCTATCTACAGCTGAGCGGCTCTGCCACGGGTCATCAAAAGCTTGGTTTCTGCTCTACTCTCAAGCAGACAGCCTATTTCCAACTGAGCGGCTCTCTTGTGTGTCCCCAAAAGCTTGGCCTCTGCTCTGCTTTCAAGCATAAAGTCTATCTCTAGCTAAGTGGCCCTCATGCGGGTCGCCAAAAACTTGGTCTCTGCTCTGCTCTCAAGCAGACAACCTATCTCCAACTGAGCGGCTCTCTCGCGGGTCGTCAAAAGCTGGACATCTATTCTGCTCTTAAGCAGTCAGTCTATCTCCAGCTGAGCAGTTCTCTCGCAGGTTGCTAAAAGTTTGGCCTTTACTTTGCTCTCAAGCAACCAACCTATACCTCAAGCTTAAGGACTCTCTCATGGGTCACGCAAAAGCTCGGTCCTCAGACTTTGTCTTTGCTCCCACGCAAGCAGTCTCTCTCTCTCTCTCTCTCTCTCTCTCTCTCTCGGTAATCATGTTATATATTTTTTGATGTTGGAATAACATTATTTTTGTCATCTCTAGACACGCTTTTGAAACTCAGGTTGTTTGTAACCTACAGAACTACGTCAGATTGAATGTCAACAATCGGACCTCATACATCTGACACCGTCGGCTCGTTGTCGCAACACTTAACAAGGTTTGCCTGCTCTTGTCCCCAAACAACACTCCTCCATCTCAATTAGCAAAATCGCCTCTCAAGCAGCACCTCTCAAGTGCCCAGCATCTCTCAGGTGCCCAACACCTCAGGCACTCAACACCCCAAGCGCCCAGCGCAGCGTGTAGAGCCAATACCCCAGCAGCGCCCAACACTGCAGCCTCACCCATCGCACAGCAGGCGTGCCCAACTGCCTACCCAACGTAGAAGGCGCCCCATCTGTCCCCTCTTGCTCGCCCGTAACATGGGCGCCCAACGCCTGGATCAACACAACAGCCCTGCTGCCCACTTGGCTTACTTTCCCCTCACTCCACAGCATTGACCACGCGCACAACAACGTTTAATAGCGCCTTTTCCAAGCGCCCAAAGCTTGCCTACCTGCTCCATCTGTGCACCCATGACGCCTATCAGCACCACGATAGGTTGTTGCCTTTGTTCAGATCGGCGCCACAAGGTCAGTTGTTTGAGTCGTTCGCCCGAGCTCAGTCCCATGGTCTGTTCATCTCTCAAATGGCGCCCTTGCCATGTTGGACAACAACTAAGGAGTGTCCTAGTTCACTCCTACCTGGCTTACTTATCGAAGGAAGGCTGCCAAAGCATGGGTGCCCAGGCCTGTTCTCCCCTCCTATGCACAAGGGCAGCTCGTCCAAGTCACCTCTACCATTTAGTGCTCTTCAAAAATCCAAAAAGAGAAGCAAAAGAGGGAGTTTATGCAGCTAATGGCGTCCCACAGGCAAAAGGAGTCTACTAAAAGGGAAGAAGTCACCAATCAAAAACAGTCTTCAAGAAATTCAAATTCAAGAAAGGGCTGCACACTATTTTGACGGTAACTCTTGATCCAAAACTCAAAATGGGACTTATTATATACCAAATCGAAGCTTTTGACGAACTAAGCAAAGCTGGTAATGAGCTTTTCAAAAAAAGTCCAAAAAAGGCCCAAAAATAGATGTTTTGGCCTCCCTAAATTTTTTTTAAAAAAAAAATCAATTGCTGCTCACCCAAAACAGTGCCTGCTCGCCAAGAGGCTGTCTGCTAGCCCAAATCGCGCACCCATCTCCCTGCTCGCTATTTCGACCATAATTTTTGCTTTGTTAAAAGTCCAAAAAAGGCCTAGAAACAATGTTTTGGCCTCCCGAAGTTTTTTCAATTATGCCAGTTAACCAAGAATTCAAACTCAATCGAATGTCATCTTCTCTAAGTTTCATTGGACACAGGGCATTGAGGGATAAATGATAGGTCAAGCCTAAAGGCCCAACTTATGTTACAAGCCCAAGGGCCCAACTCTAAGAGTCAAGCCCAAAGAGCAGCATGCGGGATAGTCTAAGAGCTCATCCAATAGCCTCCTCTACCACCTTGGAATAAGGAAGCATCCAGGAGCCTCACTCTTGCCGCTCAGAGAAAGTCAACCTTCCTTCATCCTTTGATCAAGTCCTTTGGAGAGCATCATAACTTCCATGCTCGTTGAGGAAAGGAGAGGTCGCCAAGCTATTTAATTACCGTTAAAGTCACCTTAATCCGTTATGACTATTAAACGGCCCCAATCCATTATGACTGTCAAACTAGCTATTTAATTACTACACTAAGCCATTATAAATTGTAAGTCTCACCAACACTTGGGGGTATTAAATTCATTTGAGGTAATTCTCTCCTCCTCTCTCAAAGCTTGTAACTTCTTGCTCTCCTTATACACCGGAGTTAATAAAATACCGGCGCCCCTTGCCATTTAAAGTGAACGTAAGTTACGTTGACCGAATCACTATAAACCTTGTCTTCTCTTTACTTATCAATTACTACATTTTATACTACTTATTTGACAGGTGCTGTACAAACTAATTTGTGCATCATCATTTTTCAAGAGAGAAATTTCAAAGAGTATTGAATATCAAGTGGCGCATGTACTAGTAAGCAAAGCCAAAGGTGAAGGTAGTAAAAACTTGGAGTTGAATGTGAATTTAACATAGTTGGGAGATTACCAACATGTGAGAGAGAAAGTACCAAATGTTTAGAATCAATAAACTATTTAGCAGTAAGTACTATTATTAGATTTATTTTGTTAACATAATTTATTGACTTAATTATTCATAATTATTGGATTGACAATGGATCCAATATTTATTGGGATCCACAATCAATCTAACAATTAGGATAAATTAACCCATCCAACTATGTCAGCAAATTAAGTTTAAATAACATTATTATTCAGTAATTACCCAATTCTAACCCCTTTTCTTGTAGTGCACCCATTTGATGCAGTAGAATCATAGTAGAAGATATGAAACCATCTGCATGCCATAATCTATATTTTCTCTCTCCCAATCTCTGGTGAAAATATTAAATGTAACAGTGATATCACATCATTAATGTCACGTAGTATTATCGATCATTAATAAAGTACTAAGTGGACTTAGTAGATTCCAATGTTTTAATAACTATTAATAACCAACTTACTTTATTTAATAACTATCAAGTTGGAATAGTGGAGTTCACCAATTCTGTGTATTATTTTTAGGAAAATGCTACATAATTCAAATAAAATCCAAAATTAATTAAAACTCAAATGCATATCATCCCTTAGATGAGTGTGGGATGAGTGGATTCCATTGAAAAAATTGATGAGATTCATTCTTCCAAAGGATGATATGCATTTAAGTTGTAACTTTTTGGATTTTATTTGAATTTTGTAGCATTACTTTTATTTTTATAATTTATTTGGTGATACCACATGACATTGATGATGTGATAAAGAAGTATGGAGTATCATGACAATAAAACCCACCAATCACAAAGGTAACTCAAGTGATAATAGTGACGAGCTGTGTAAATTTAAACATCGTGAATTTAAATCTTATCAACCCCTTAGCCCCAAGTCATAGGTCATAAAGAATTTATACCTCATAAATAATTTAGTTCAAGCTTAGATGACCTACTTTTGACCATACAGAAGAGAGGATTAATTGAGATACGTATAAGGTGATCCGGACATATCTCACCCTGAAAAAAAAAAAAAATAACAGAACTCACCCATTATAGACTAAACCCGTGGCACTAATGTGCCACCATTTGGATAAGTCGATGATGGGAACATATAAATAAATTATAAAGCCTTAAAATCCACTTCAATTCCTATCCCATAAATTATGGTCAAGGAGTTAACTTCCAAGAAAGAACATCACTAGCTCTTCAAGGGTCAGCATTGCATATATAGAATTCTATAGTATCTCTCTCTTTGCAATTAGAAACAAGGAAAAGAATGTGTTGCCCACAAGAACAAAATCTGTCCCAGATGGTCAGAGACTTCATTGAATCGGAGTCACCCACCATTTTCCGTTCTTCTTCTGAATCTCTCCAAGTTCATCATGAATCCGCATCTCTCTCTTTACAGGTCTACTGTATATTTTGGTGATCATTTCCCTTATTTTGGTTGACTTTGTAATTTTTTTTTTTTGTTTTGAATCTGATCTTGTCTATTGGTATATCTATCGTTTTTAGGAGATCCTTGAGAATGTCACAGATGCTGAGATTGAAGTTCTTGGGAAGGTCTTGCTCTACTTGGACGATACGGAACCGATGGATCAGAAACCCGAAAATCTAAGGAAATGGGTTGGATTAAATTTGAAAATTGACAGTTATGAAGCTTCTCTCTGCAAAACCTCTTGGGTCACCACCTTTGGTCGTCGTGCAGGTCTCTCTCTCTCTATTTCTCTCTATTTGTGATTAATTCATTATACTTTTATGAAAAATTATGATTTAATGGTTCTTTTGTGCTGAAGTCTTTGAATTTACAGGTGACTATGAATATATTGATGTGATGATTCATGGTGATGTTGGAGGTGAACCAACAAGGCTGATAGTAGATATAGATTTTAGGTCTCAGTTCGAATTGGCAAGGCCTACACCAACCTACACAGAGCTCTCAAACTCTCTCCCTCCCATCTTTGTTGGGACTGACGAAAAACTCAACAAGTTAATCTGTTTGCTTTGCCCAGCTGCTGAGCAATCTCTGAAGGAGAGAGAACTTCACATTCCTCCATGGAGAAAAGCCAGTTACATGCATTCCAAGTGGCTCTCTCAAAACTGCAAGAAAGTCCCATTCTGATCCAGCTGAGAATCTGGCATACCCAAGAACCTAAATGGGGACCTAGATTTGTATTGCCTTTTTCTCTTTCTTTTTTTTTTTTTTTTTTTTTTTTTTGAACTGAGGGTATGCAGATGTTAAGGTATGTATTTCATATGATAATATATACATGTTGATATTTGTTTGAGATAATGTATTTGGAAAAAATTTTGTCACTTTTTTTTTTTGGCGATGTCTTCAGATACAAATTATGATTAGTATATATTTAAATATAAAATCTTATGTATGTAGTCAGGCTATTAAGGTATATTCATTTTTCAGGACTATATTATGGTAGTAGCCTATCAGGACAACGCCCCCAAGTAATGGATTTCTCGCTTTCTTAGCTTTACCCCGCACTACTAACCCTTTAATAATGGAGTTCTTCTTTCCATATGGTCTTTGTTTATAATAAACTCTGGATTACTTTAGTGTTTTAGAACGAAAAATGAACACAAATTAGTGTATTTGAATTTTATTAATATGATAAAATTCAGATTTAATTAAGATTTATACATATGATTTATTGAGAAATGCGTGTATATGTGACTTGACTTTTCATTTCCGATTAACAAAATATTTCTTAATAACCTCTTGAACGATCTTTTCCAAAAAAAAAAAAAAATTTTTCTTTTGAAAAAACTCGTGCAATGAAATTTTTTACCTTATTTGGCCCTCAGGACAATCGGATATCATGATCTCGAAAAGAATTCGACTTGAAAAAGAAGATAAAATTAATATTTCGAGAAAAATTCAAACTTCAAAGTGTAGATTTTTAGATAGAGAAAACAAAAAATAATACATCTATTAGAATCAAAGCAGCAAGAAGGATGTAGACTTTATTTAATATTTCTAGTGGTATAGAGAATCTTGTTCATAACTGCTTAATTTTCTGGGCTTGAATTATATATTACTAAAACTTTGTCTTAAATGTTCCTTAAATACTTTTTTGTCCTTTAGTGGATGAGTAACTTCTTCGAAACCCAGTGAGAGAGTGACTGAGTAATTTCTTGGAGAGAGAGATGAATCCCATGTTGGACTGACTACTTGGAAAGAAGAGAGAACTCAGTCTCTAGATTTTATTCAATCAAAATCAAAATTATAGGAAAACTCTGCATTAATACAAAATATAAAATAAATACTCTAATGGCGGGATATAATATAAAAGTGCATAAAAAATGGATTAAACGTTATTTTTTTTGCTTAAAAAAGTTACATGTTTCAATCTTGCTCGACTCATTGAGAATATTCCACAATGTGATTTTAATAAATTTTTTAACACTGTCGTCCAAAATTAATCATGTTTAACACTCAATCAACGTTGTTTTTTATGATTTTGATCCCCAATGTAATCATATACTAAACATGCTGCATCACACGTCATTTTAGAAACAACACCTCTACTAACAATCGCTCTGTTGTTTAGGAAAGGTACTCTGCCCAAAAGAAATGGCGTCTTCAAAACAAAAACACCATGAAAAAATTGAAGAAAAAAAATGGGGGCGTCGGACATCCTATTACTCACATGGCTTGCACGTTTGTTCGTCCATTGAAGGTTGATGGGTGTGTTTTTTTTTTTTTTTTTTGTTGCTCCTATTTGGCTATTGTATGTAATGTGGAGCAAATTTTGTGATGACTCTAGGATCAACTCTACTGGTTATCATTTATCTAGTAATAAAGAAATGCAACTCGATAGTGAAATTTTTAAAATTATTAAGTATTGCAGGCACGAGTTAATAGTAAATAACATGTATGGATCCAAATTTGCAACAAGGACGACTTTGTCAAACTAACCTGTTATATTAGTCCAAATAATAGAGTTTTAGTGATTAAATAGCCCAAAATTTCGAGTATAACTATCATTTTCATAAATAAGTAGTAGATTTGACTTGGCACCAAAGAAAGTATGGTACAAAAGTTTATAAGTTTTGTAGAGTTTGAGTTATAATTTTTTGAGATGCTTGGAATATCTTATAATTATTACTTTTAATCCTTATAATTTTAACCAAGACTCGGGAATTTTTCTCACGTCAAAAGATTCAGAGTTGATTATAATCACCATTTCCCCCTCAATTCACCTCCAAATAGCATTCATTACTGTTATCAGTTTCAATAGAACAGTACTACGAAAGAATGAAAACACTTTACTAACCCTTTACTAATAATTTTTATAATTAATCATAACATTTTAAAATTGATCATAATATTTTAGAACTGATCGTATTTTTTTATAAATATTAATTAATTTATTAAAAAATTATAATTTTTGGTATAATATTAAAATTCTTTCTGCCTGATTAATTTGATAGAAAAGTGGGTGAATGAAAAATAAGATGAAAAATGACAATTTTTTTATTTGGTATAAGAAAAAAATTGAAAGAAAAGTCAAAGTGAGTGAAAAATATATCCAATGCGCCCACCATTTTTAATCATTTCACTGATGGGAGGAAAGTGGATGAAAGGATGGCGATAGGTTGAAAAGTTTTTTGAAGTTATCATTTTAGCCTTAAAAGTGACGGATTATAAAAACACAAATTAGGGGAAAAAAAGTAAGTGTGTGGACCAAATTAGTGGATCCCATATTTAAGTTATTTGTTTCTTATAGTAAATTCTCCGTATATAAAAGAACAATGATGGTAATTTTTTTATTTATTTATCTTCTCATATCATATAATGATAGAATGATAAGTTAAGTACACTTGCCTTTTTTTTTTCTTCCAATTTTTCTCTAATATCAAATAATAAAAAATTAAGTTTTCAAACTTTTCTTCTATAAAAATTAATTTCATTTATCTAAGAATGAAAAAATTATATTTCACATTTTTTTATTCTTTTAATTTTCATCCGAGAACATTAATCTTTCCATCAGACCCAAAAATATAGACCACTCGATGGTGGTGACATATAACTCTATCATGGCATCACCTTTCTAGATGATTTGAAAGATAGTGAACTTTCAAGACTCTCTACATATGTTCCGGTACCTTCCTGTAAGAAGCAAGAGAATGGGTAGCTCTGAAGAAGAAAGACTGGTCCAGATGGTCAGAGACTACATTGAATCAGAATCAACCACACCCATATCCTATACTCCTTCAAAACCCCTCCAAGTTTGTCATAAAACGTCATACGTATCTTTGCAGGTATGATCTTCTTATAGTTTTGAGAATCTAATATTTGTTTGGTGCATCCTTTGTCTTTGAATGATCTAGACTTGGTTTGTTTTCTAAGTCTGATCTTTACTTATATTTTTTTCTATGTGTTTCTCTCAGGAGATCCTTAAAAGTGTCACAGATGCTGAGATTGAGGTTCTTGGAAGGACTCTATGTTACTTGAAGAGCTTGGAGGCTATAGGGCAAGCCAATAACCTCAACAAATGGGTAGTACTGAACTTGAAGAAGGATGGTTATGAAGCTTCTCTCTGTAAAACTTCTTGGGCCACTGCTTTCGGTCGCCTTTCAGGTCTCTCTCTCTCTCTCTNATGGCGATAGGTTGAAAAGTTTTTTGAAGTTATCATTTTAGCCTTAAAAGTGACGGATTATAAAAACACAAATTAGGGGAAAAAAAGTAAGTGTGTGGACCAAATTAGTGGATCCCATATTTAAGTTATTTGTTTCTTATAGTAAATTCTCCGTATATAAAAGAACAATGATGGTAATTTTTTTATTTATTTATCTTCTCATATCATATAATGATAGAATGATAAGTTAAGTACACTTGCCTTTTTTTTTTCTTCCAATTTTTCTCTAATATCAAATAATAAAAAATTAAGTTTTCAAACTTTTCTTCTATAAAAATTAATTTCATTTATCTAAGAATGAAAAAATTATATTTCACATTTTTTTATTCTTTTAATTTTCATCCGAGAACATTAATCTTTCCATCAGACCCAAAAATATAGACCACTCGATGGTGGTGACATATAACTCTATCATGGCATCACCTTTCTAGATGATTTGAAAAATAGTGAACTTTCAAGACTCTCTACATATGTTCCGGTACCTTCCTGTAAGAAGCAAGAGAATGGGTAGCTCTGAAGGAGAAAGACTGGTCCAGATGGTCAGAGACTACATTGAATCAGAATCAACCACACCCATATCCTATACTCCTTCAAAACCCCTCCAAGTTTGTCATAAAACGTCATACGTATCTTTGCAGGTATGATCTTCTTATAGTTTTGAGAATCTAATATTTGTTTGGTGCATCCTTTGTCTTTGAATGATCTAGACTTGGTTTGTTTTCTAAGTCTGATCTTTACTTATATTTTTTTCTATGTGTTTCTCTCAGGAGATCCTTAAAAGTGTCACAGATGCTGAGATTGAGGTTCTTGGAAGGACTCTATGTTACTTGAAGAGCTTGGAGGCTATAGGGCAAGCCAATAACCTCAACAAATGGGTAGTACTGAACTTGAAGAAGGATGGTTATGAAGCTTCTCNCTTTTTGTGGATTATCTTATAATAAAAAAAATTATTATTTTTATGAATAATTTTTTGTTTTTGTGGGTATTTTTGTGTTTTTATTACATTTCTAGTAAATATTTTTATATAAAAAATTTATTTTTTGTGAGTGATTTATTATATTTATTGTGATAATTATTTTTATTAATTTTTAAATATCATCACAGCGATAAAAATATAATAAAAACAACTATAAATATGGTATAAAAAAAATGAATACAGTAGTCAACTCGAAATATACACCATGCAATGGAAACCAATAAAACTATTAAATATACTTCATAATCATTATTAAGCCGTATAAAAAGCTGTATCCGAGAGAGAGAGAGAGAGAGACTTGGCTTCCAAGTTAGAACATCCGAAGCGAGAATACATTAAATATTGCAGACTTTCTGGCCTTATGTAAAGCTTATCCAAATGACGAAATGCTATATGCATTTAAAAATTAGATTTGATAATTTTAACTATTGATTTTATTGTACCGTAGGTCCTAATATTTATTAAGTCTTACTACCTATTCAATGATTAAAATTATTAAATTTAATTTTTAAGTCTATCTATTATTACTCTATCCAAATTCAAGTCCCAACCTACCAAGATTAAAAGCAGACAAGGAGAAACCTACGCTGTACTTTCAATTAATGGAAGGGCCTAGTGTCAACAGTGTGAGTTTAGCAACGTATTTTTATCCATTATATATATCTGATAAATAAAATTTATTAATTATTAGAGATAATTCGTGTCTAAAGATACGATATAATATAAATAATTTTAAAAAATATGATACTGACTGTTAGATAAGTCTATTTAAATCCGTCAAATAAATTTATTGAAGTCTACATTTTATATTAAGATGGACATGACAAGTTCAAAACAAAATCAAGAGTATAAAACTTGTATTTGTTTAGAAGGTAAATATTTTATTAATTCGACAATATAAAATATTTAATAAAAGTCAAAACATGTTCAGAAAAGATACATAGAGCGACAATTCACATACACTACAACCTAATTTATATTAAAAATAAGAGAAAGACTAAGTAGAATATATATATATATATATTAGTTATTGCATGTACCTGAAGGTACTATGTTACTTATAAAATTTCAACACACAATGATAAGATATTTGAATAATTTTAACATATAGCAATTAGATTGGTTTTGAATATTTTTTGTTTGTGCAATTGGTATCTTATTTTTTTTATATTGGTCACCTATTTTTTTTAACTGTTGATTAGCTTGGGTTTTGGATTTTTTTTAAAATTTTTTGAGAACTATAAGTTTTCATACAGTACTAATTTATTTTTTGATATGAATAGTAAATTGATAATTTTATTTATGGATTATAAAGACAATTTAAACTTCATTGATTGATAAAAAATAAGAAGTAAAAATCAACCACTGGTACTAAAATGCTGATTAGAAAATCTACTTACTGTGTACTCTAGATATGAATCAGTTTGTAATAAGAATGATGAAAAATTATATAGTAAGTATATAATAATTTTTAATGAAATATGATATCAAAGGTCTTGAAAAAATCGATATACCAAATAACTTACATGTCCAAAAATAGTGACATTGTAAATTTGGGATATCAAGCTTTTTGTACTAAATATCAAAATGGCTAATGTCTAAAATGACCATATGCCGTCCAATGTGGGATATCAAGCTTTTTGTACACGCCATTGTAAGAGAAGTGGGCTCAACATGACAACATCCTTGTATTGATGAACCTTTGTTTTGGATTCCTTCGTATCATGATCCACTTTTAGTCTTCTCACACCGTTACAAGTCAATGGCGTCAAGTAACCCAAAATAAAGGTAACCCAATCATGTTAATTTGTTGACTTTATCATAAATTTCCATTGTCTTAATTAACTAATATATAAGATCAATATAAATTTATTGTAATAACTCAGCGTTGTATCTAAATTGAATTCTGGTATACCTGGTTCAACTCGTAAAAAATATGTTAAAAGTCATGTGTTATATGGTTCGTAATTGGNGTAATAACTCGGCGTTGTATCTAAATTGAATTCTGCTATACCTGGTTCAACTCGTAAAAATATGTTAAAAGTCATGTGTTATATGGTTCGTAATTGGTACTGTATAATAGGATTTTTGTCGCATAAAAATGGGTTTGTGTGCAGATATAATTATTAAGCATGTCTAATGGGTAAATTTATTATGATTTAGTCTGATTAATGCTAAACTCATATTTAATAACTGCATCGATTATGTATTAAATTAACAAATGGTTATGTGTGTAGGTGAATCACTATTGATGGCTCAAGATTAATGTCTTTTGCCATAAGGGGGAAAATATGAAAAGAAGTGAGAGAATGAGATTTGACAGGAATGACGTTGTTACGTGGTACTTGGGATGGCCTATAAAATGATAATTCTTCAAATTATTTCGTTCAACTTTCGAGGGATTTCCACTGATTTTATTCAACATTCGCCAAAATAAGGATACACACCGTGACATTAAAATAATAATTAGTGAACAAACTTCTTTTGAGCCAGAGGCTGGGAGAAATTACAAGGTTGCTCTAATGGAAAATAATAAATCCATATATTTTGAGCCCGAGATGTACATCGTCTCCTCTGATAACGAATCAGTTGAACCTAACCCAACAAAAGACTTTGCTATGAAAGATGTCATAACCATTGATCCTAGTTGCCTCAAAATTACTCTCTCACAAAATACTATTCAGAGGAATAGAAGAAAATGGAGTAACAACCTTATTGTGAAGCTACTAGGCAAATCAATAGGCGCTAAGATGTTATGCACAAGGGTGGGAGACATTTGGTGTCTACTGGGGAACTTCGATGTTGTAGATCTAGACTACGGGTTTTTTCTATTCAACTTTGAATTACAGGAGAACCAACGAAAGGTCTCAACAGGGGGACCTTTGACAAAAGCCCAGCAAATCTCAACAGCTCTCTGGGTGAGACTTCCTGAGTTACCTGTTGAATACTATGAGGAAAAAACAATTTTCCAGATAGCTAAGGCGTTAGGAAACCCAATCAAAGTGCATATCAAGACTGCAACGGCTTAAAAGGGTAAGTTGGCAAGGGTATATATTGAAAAAGACCTCTCTCAACCCATAATATCTAATTATAGATTGGGCTACCATCTATTCAAGGTGGAATACGAATGCCTCCATTAAATTTGCTTTGCATGTGGAATGGTAGGCCATTCTTGGGATTATTGTCCCTATATCCTCAAACAATCCCACCAGAGGTCACCAAAAAAGGGAAGAAGATAGTCGTTGAAAATTCTAATCAGCCAATAACAGCTATTTCGAGTAACCCTAGTTCCAAGTCCAAGACCCAAAAAGCCTCAACTAACCCACAAAGCAACTGAGAACTTGGATGGCGAGGAAAACTTTAGCCCATGAATTATATAGCCCAATCCAAGTGGAGAAAGCCCACTGTAAAGAAGATTACCCAAAATATCAATGGGTCTAGCTCTACCAATTGGTTCTAGGCTTTGGAAAAAGATACTATAGTTAAAGCAAAACCCAGCCCAAATATCTCTGACTTTCGCCAAGGTCCAACAAATAATCACCCGAGTTCTAGTTCGACCCACAAAAGATCTCTGCACCATGAACACCAAAAAAGCATCAAAAGGAAGTGGGTCAAGATGGATAAGACCAATCGACTAATACATGGTACAAATTTGCAGGAATTTGAGGGTCACCATGATCCTTCGTTTAAGGATACTAATCCAACAATTCGTTCTTCCAAGAACACCTCCTAAGGAATACAGCCTGAGGCCACTAACCCTAAGTCAAATTCAGGTCAGCTGAATCCCAAAAGGCATTGCATTGAACAGTTTCAGTCTCCCAATTCTTCTCTTCCACTACTTCATCATCATACTTCTTCTTCTTTCACATCCCTTCATCATTCCCCAAATGAACCTATGACCGTTGAATCGTCATCCCAACACCAAGAACTCAATACTGATTTGAGAGTTCCCAAAGCCCCAGATCCACAGAATGAACTATCCAAATCTTCCTCCATTAAGACCAGTTCAGCTCAATGACATCAATGTAGGGTTGATCATATATAGAGAGGAAGAGGAAGTGTGAATAATGTTAGTCAACGTGTTGATCCGAAGAGTCACCTTTGCTGCGGAGATGTGCTTTCTTAGGAGAATGACAACTTACAACTTCGTAATCACTTTGAGAGCAGAACCTCCCATAAAGACCCAAAGGGAGGAAGCATGGAGATTTCTGGGACGGATTCCTATCACTCGTCCTCTTTCTCCTTCATTTTTAATGAATACGTACTCCATGAAGATTATGTCCTGGAACTGTAGAGGAGCTGGAAATCTTCCATTCATAAGAGCCTTTGACGATCTTGTTAGGAACCATAACCCAGATGCTATAGTCATCATGGAAACTAGAGTCCAGAGTCCATCACTTGGGAATTTTTTCCACCAATTTGGTCTTTTTGGTACTGAGTTCGTGGAACCAATAGGTATTCGGTTTTTATGGGACCCTACTAGGGTTCAAGTCTAGATTATTGAAACTACCAACAAAGGAATTCATGCCTACATCTCAAAGGTGAATTTTGATGCTTGTATATTCTCAGCCGGCTATGGAAACCCTAATCCAGCAGTAAGAGATGATCTTTGGAACAATCTAAGCATAATTGGGGATAATTTTAATCAACCATGGCTGGTGGCTGGAGATCTCAATGACTATTACAGTCTCTCTGAGAGAAGGAGTACTACTGCTGGTAATTTAAGCAGATGCCTAAAGTTTACTAAATGTATAAACAGGTGTTGTCTTATGGACCTGGGATGTAGTGGTCCCAAACAAAACTTGGATTAGCAAAAGGAAAGGATTAGCCAACACTCTTCTTTGTTTAGACAGAGCTCTTGCTAATGCTGAATGGACTACAAAATTCCCAGAAGCTGAAGTTCAGAATCTTCCAAGAATTAGATCAGTTCACTGCCCTTTTCTCAACCATACCACATGTATTCTCTGAAATCCCCCTATTCAAAGACCCGTTAGATTGGAATTTGCATGGACCATTAATCAAAATTTTAAGGAAATTGTGACTTTAGCCTGGCAAAAATCCAATAATTCACTAATTGAAGCTGTTAAGACTAGCAATGGATGCCCAGGACTAGAATAGAAACTGCATTGAGAATATTTTTAGGAGGAAAAGACATTTGTTACCAAGATTAGAAGGCATTCAAAAAACACAGGAATTCAGATACTCTAGAAATCTGGAGAACCTAGAGGCAACTTTAATTCAAGAATACAATTTAACACTGGAACAAAAGGAACTGTTGTGGCATCAAAAATCTAGAGCTAACTGGATCACTAAAGGGGAAAGGAATACAAGATTCTTCCACATTTCCAGATTGGCAAGACGAAGGAAAAACAGACCAGTTACTCTTAAATGATCTAGGTAACTGGACATCTATCCCGGAAGATCTTACAAACGTAATCTCTAATTACTTTAAAGATCTTTATGCTAGAGACTATAATACACCCTTTTTTTTTTCCCAATTGAAGAGATGCAAACAGTTTTATCAGAGCTAGATAAAACCTCCCTTATGTTGCCGGTAACAGATCAAGAAATTAAATACTCAGTCTTCAGCATAAAAGCCTCTAAAGCTCGTGGCCCAGATGGCCTTCATGCCTTCTTCTACCATAAATACTGGAGTGTTATAGCAGCCTCAGTAGTGAAGCAAGTTAAAGAAATGATTCAAATGAGCTCTTGCCCTCACCAAATTAACAAAACTTGGATTACTTTGATTCCCAAAGTTGATAGTCCAATCTCAATGAACCAGTGTAGTCCAATTAGCTTATGTAATGTCAACTATAAAATCCTTTCCAAAATTCTGGTAAATAGACTAAGACCAAACCTTAATGATTTAATTGGGCCATATTAGAGCATTTTTCTATTTGGTAGGCAAGCTATTGATAATATTATTATTACCCAAGAAATTGCTGCTCATCCAAACATGGGATAGGCTTGGATTACTTTATATTATATAGGTATAATAATCATTTTAACCTTCTTTTAATTGGACATGTGCATGTGACCCACGCTTGACATATTGTCTATCCAAGTGGAGGATTGGATGGTATAGAATATATTTAGTATCTCTTGGCCGGATTTTATTGCATTGGTTTGGATGAGATTGAATTCAAAGTCCAATCCTCACGTGCCCACCCAAACACGCATTCCTTGCATTGATATGTTGGGTCCAATTATGAAATGAAAAATTATTTCTCTGCATCATAATTCTTATTTTTCACAAATTGCAACATGATAAGTGTAAATCTTTTTATATATTATTATCTTTTATTTTTAAGATTAATGATCTTAAATAAAGCAACACAAGGTTGGTTTATTTTGTACACTTCAACAAGTAAAAATGAACAAATAAATTTTTTACTTTTTTAATTTGATTTTACTCTGTTCCCCCAAGTATTAATGTTTTTTGATAATACCAAAAGTTATTGAAAATTACAAAGCAAAATATGTTGGATAAAATTTTCACCAGTGTAATGATATATTCATACATTTGCATGTGTGTATTATAATATACTAGGGACAACTTGTGTTTGAAGACATGATACAATATAAACGAATCGGTTAAGTGAGAAGTGATGGATTTGGGGAGAGAAAAAGTTAATATGAATGATTTTGAGAGGGATGTTGGTGGCCGTTGGATGAACATATTTAAGACTATCAGATGAACTTATTAAAGTCTGTCATATTTTATATTATAGATGTTTTTAGTTTTAATAAAAGAGAATGAATTCAGAGCAACTTATAAAAAACTTCCATTTTTTGTTGTTGTTGTAGAAGTTCTTTTATCAGGAAACAAACGATACTTTTTAAAATTTTAATTTTCACTTTCTTGCTAAAAACAAAAATCAAAAGCATAAAAAACCTTGAATATAATCTCATATAATTGTATCCAAGTTGAATTTATTAAGATGGAGTGGAAAATATTTTATGTTTTGAGGGGTGAGAAATTGGTAGAAAAGTATGAAAAAATCACACTCTAACTCATGTACCCCTACTTGTATATGAGAAGTGATGAATCTAATACTACAATTAGAAAGTTAAATTCTCAAATTATAAAATACAACAACAGTCAACATGAATCCAATTTTTATCCACATTCTACTCTCTCTCCAAAATTCATATATTAGTAGGGATTATGAGTCTTAAATTGGAAAAGTGTTGAGGTTTTTTTAGCAAAACTTAAATATAAAAATGTAATGCAATATCTTGCATAATAAAAGAATAATTTTTAAACAACATTATAGTCACTTTATTTATTTTTATAATAAATATTTATAAAGCCACATTTAAAATTTTGGCTTAGAACTCCAAATTATATCGAGACCACCTTGCCACCACGTCATCGTGAACAAGGTGATGAACCAAGACATTGAAGAAGATATATGAGTAAAGTCGTTCATTGTCGGATCTTATTTTATCCAAAAATAAAAAATTGAGGATTAAAAACTTTATATTTACGTATTCATACGATTGAGCCCTTAGATTTTGAAATAGTGTAAAAATATTAGTGTGGGTTTTTAAATTCTTATATGCAAAATTGAGATTTTCATTTGTCAAGTGGTGCCATTGTAATTTACTCAAAAACTTTGTTTAAACTCCAAATAAATACTTCCTCTGTTCCTAAATATTTGTCGTTTTACCTAATTTTTTTTGTTCCACAATATCTGTCGTTTTATGAAACCAAAATATAATTAATATTTTTTCTTTCAAATTTATCCTTATCTTTGTTTTT